TGCAAGTGCACACTTACAGCTACTCAGTATAAGACATCTTGGTCAATTTCCTGTTCTATTTCCTTCTCTTTCTTAGCTGTGCAAAGGGAGTGACAAAAAGCGGTAGGAAATCCCCAATTGAAAAGTATCAGTGAAAGAGTGAAGTCAAAAAGTTGCATCCAAAGGCGTGAGTGCAAAGGTGGGGAGACAAGACCACCGCCTCTTGGTTTTAAGTGTTGAACTGACAGTTCAACAGTACATGCAATGACATTTTAAAAATCAGCATCACATTTTATTGATTTGTAAATCAAGCTGCAATCAAAATGGGAAAAGTAGAATTGTGTATGAAAAATGTTCAAATCACAGGAAGTAAACTTTCCACTTCATTTTGTACTAATCAAGACTTCATCTGGATTATTGTATTCCATTTTTTCCACATTTTATGAAGAATCTTGATAAACTGGAATGGTTATAGAAGAGGGCAATGAAACTGGTCAATGGTATAGAAAACAAGTCCAGTGAAGAAAGGTTGAAAGAACTGGGCATGTTTAAGCCTAGAAAAAAAGACTGAGAGAGTATAGTATTATTCTAATACCCAAAGCCTGTCATGTAAAAGATGTCAAAGCTTATTCTCTGCTGTCCCAGAATGCAAGGCAAGATCAAATGGACTTAAGTTAGAGACGATAGAATTTACGTGAAAATCAGAAAAATACCTTGACAGTAAGCACAGTTTGACTATGGAACCAACTAGCAGTAGTAGTGGTGGACTGTCCCTTGCTTGAAGTCATCAAACAAAGGTTGGACAGTGATGTTAAGAATGGTCTGAATGGAACAGAAGGCTAGTCTGGATGGCCTACAAGACACTCTCCAACACTAACTCACCTTACATGGCAAAGGGGCTGTTCTTTATTTTATGAAGCTAATTCATTTCAGTTTGAGCAAGCCAAAATTCCTCACATACTTATGATCATAGGACAAGAGGGGACACAACAAGAACTGCATGGCAGAGCCAACAGTCTGAATTCTTTCAATGTAACCACTGGCCTTTGCCCAATGATGAGGTCGAAGGAGCTATGTGTCCACATGAAAAGACATTCAGACGCTTACAGGAGCCACATGGGATCTTGCCAAATTGTCAGCTTTCTGTGAATGTAGTCTGAGTTTTAACAAAGTGCAGGGCAAGGAGAGAAGGAAGAATACTGAGGCAAAGAAGATTCATGCACATACATTTGCCAGGCTAATTAATGAGATCGTTCATAGATTTGTAAGAAAAATCCTTTTACCATCAAATCAAATTAATTGTTCCAGCAAGGGTATAATTCCATGTATTCCCAAGGTTGAGCTGCTGGGCACCCAGTAACCTTTGTGGTTGAGCTGGTATTTGAATCCAGGTCTCCCTGGTCCAGCTCCTTAATGACTACATCACATAGGCTAGAATGCTTGGGACAAGCATTATGGGCCTTTTTTGGTTTTACGATCCCTCTTGCACAACAGGCATTCTAGAATAAGTACAGCCTTTAGGGAAACTACAGTTCCTGATGGCTGTCATTTGGCAGCTGACTAATTTCTGCAGTCCTCCCTTTTTCCCTACAAATCATACTAAGGAACGCCCATCCTGTTTGGCCATCTTGGAAGGAAGAAGCTTTAAAGCAGCTGCTTCCTGCCCACTTAGCACCCCAAAGATAACCACAACGCACTTTTTAAAAACAAGAAAACTCCCAACTAGCCTGCATTCTCTTTAAGGTGTATAATTAGAGATTACATATCCCAGACCCAGTTGTTTCAATGGAAAATGGTATCATTATGGTAAGCTTAGGGAAGAGAAAAACAAAAACATTTCCTGACGTTCTGGTAAAAAATGATATTTTTACTGTGACACAATGTTAAGTGAAATTTAAACAATATGTAAAATGAAAAAGAGATGCATGTATACTGATCTGGGGACTTTTTTGTTTGGTGGGACCTGAAATGAGTACAAGCTCTGAGCATAAAAATCCTACATATACACATTTAGCTCAATAATACAACACAATTATCCTGCCCTTATATTAGAGGACAATTGCATAATGCGGATTTTAAAGGTTGGTTTCTATTTAAGCACAGGAAAAGAAAGAACATCAAACTATTTTCAAGGAATACTTGGTAATCCCTGGTTTTTATTTTAAAAATAATATTGTATTATTTGGGCATTTGTAATGCACATTTGCTTAGATCCACTGGTACCTACAAGTCAACTTACAATCAATTAAAATCTGACTGTAACTAAGGCATGGATCACTGTAGCAAGGACAGACTTATCCAGGAATTCATATGGCTTGCACGAGAGCCTCAGGTGGTCAAGGTACTCCTATCCTGGCCACCACAATTATCCAGCATCAGCACTGGAAATGAGAGCACCACCAAACTATGACACAGAGTGGGAGTGCAAACCTTTCCAAAATAAGCTGCACACCAGTGGTGCTTCTGTCCCATCTAGATTAAACTCTTTATTTTCATCCAGTCTGTGACTGATGGAAGACTCCCATTCAGAATGCAAAACTTTCTCCTTAGGGTTGGAAGAGATGGAGCCAACAGTCATCAGTTGATGACACTTTCACAGCAAACCTCCTAGTGTCCTTCATATAGATAATAAAAACATGGGAAGGAATATGGAGCCTTACAGCACTGTGAAGCCAAAGCCCATGAGACAGAACAGCATCTCCTCACATCACCTTCTGTGATCTGACCTCCAAGTAGCAGAACTAACACAACACTGTACTGTCCCCCATCTTTGCATCCCACTTCAAGGTCCAACTCAACGTTTTTCTGACCTTGTATAGTGGAGCTATGTGTGCTGGTTCTATTTATTTTGGTATAAGTGCATGCAAACCCTTTTTGACCTGAGATCACAGTGGTTGGTAGGAGGGAGGGGATTAACCTTCACTTTCACTTCCATCTTCTTTGCCAAGAAAAAATTTTTGGTAGCATCAACTAAGGCTTTTCTCCCCTTTTCTAATTCCCCCAACTGGCAGGCAGGGGGGATATCAGGACAAAACTGGGTGGGAGGGAGATTTAACCTTCTTGAACACCATGGTCCCAATCCAAATTGGAGTCCTATCTGCTCACATGACACATAGCATCATCATGAATGTGCTATTAGATGAATGCTAGTTTTGCTCTCAGCCATATCATCCAGAAGGATACCCTGGTCCACCTAGAAAAGACTCTTCAGTGATCTAACAAAACCAGTAGTGCCTCTGAATGAATAGGTGTAATGCAAAAATCTCTTGAGTTGTCCCAGCACAACACATTCTGAAATCCTGGGCCAGAATGGAAGGTTTGAGTTTGGCCAAAACCTGTTAAGGTCAGCCAAGCAAAGTAAAGCCTTATGGGATATGTCAACATGGCCTCTCTTAGTTCAAAAAGGCCAATGCCTTCCCTCACAGGAATATCCAATATTTTACTCTATCACCTCTTCTGGAGGTGGATCTGATTAGGAAGTAAGGTCATGGATCTAGAGCGCTGGTTGTGGGTCTCACCTCTCCAAGGATATTGTCCACATCTTCAGGCTGCACAAACTGAAAAGTACCCAAAACAACAGGAGAAGCAGAATCCTCAATCCCTGCCAGGGTCATATCTGTAATCAGTGTGGAAACCATTGATTACACTGTTGCTTTGCTGTGCGTTTTCTCGCTCCCAACAGCAGTAGCTAGCAATGAGGAGCAGACATGGGGAAACACTGTAACCATGGCAGCGCATTGTCTAAATTGTGTTAGATGTTACAGAGAGGGTCATAGTTTATGTTATGGCATCTTCCCATACTCAGTGCTGTGCCCCAAGTGAGCATCTAGATGCAACTGTCCAAGTGCTGTGAACATGTGTCTGATGTAGTGGCGAGAGTGCTAGGCTGGGAGATCTGGGCTCTAGTCATCTCTAACCCACAAACCCACCCACAAAGCTTCACTGGGTCACTGATTTTCAGTCTAGCCTACATCACGAGGTTGCTGAAACTATAACATGGAGAGAACTATCTAAGCCATTTGCAAGAAGGGAAAAAGTGGGCTATAAATGCAATCATAATAAAGAGATGAAAATAAAATGTGTTTGCGGTGAAATAAACAATGGTGCCAGCTGTACACAAAATGGTATGCATGAATTCTCCCCCAAAGAGATTATCATCGTTTAAGAACACTGTGAAAATGTATTCACTGAAAGAATTTGCATATATGTTTAAAGGAGATAAAAAGAACACCTACCCAGAGCAGGGCCCTCTCTGCAGTGGCACCCAGATTATGGAATGCGCTCCTTGGAGAGGTGCGCCTGGCACCAAGTTTATATTCTTTTCGGCGCCAGGTTAAAACCTTTTTATTTAATTGCTATTTTAAAAACTAATATTTTACCATTAACAGTTGCTCTTTTTGTTTTTGGTTTTATATCATCTTTTACGGAATTTGTTGTTGTTTTATTGTTTTTAATTGTATGTGTTGTAAGCCATCCCAAGATGCCAAGGCATGTGGTGATGGCATATACAAGTTTTAAATAAATAAATATGTGGGTCTAGTCCAGAGACACAGTTATTTTTTCAGTGATTTGACAGTAATATGATAAGAACATGACTCTCCATGGTAAACATTCACTTTGCTCCTATGCATTGTCAATTTTTCAAGTGTTCGTGGTGCTTCAGGAACCTGCATATCTTGCTAGATCAGAGATGACAGGGATGTGAGTATGTACATCTCAGGAGCAATATCTTTCCATTTCCATTTCTTAAAAAAATTACCCTCTGTGGTCTCCTTCCAATCCCAGCAGCAAGCAGTTGTTATGATACTCACAAAGTGCAATCCTGTACTTTTAACCTAGAAATTAGCCTCATTGAAGTCAGTGAGCCATACTTCTGAGTCGCCATGTTATAGGATTGCACTGTCCATATTCTTTTGACCTATTGCATGCTAATTTTTTGGAGTCAACAGACACAGGATATGGAAGCAAATAGGAGCTTTCTTGTTAGGACTATAATATGGATTTCATCCAGGATAACTCACCGCCGATTGAGTTGCTCCATTTGTTGGATTGAACCTGATCTACGAATTCCATCAGGAGTAGCTGCTGCAGTAGGACGCTGCCAAGTTGTGGTTCGATTCACATGATCCACATAGAATACCCGTCCATGGCTGTCTATCCGAGCTTCCCAATCTTGTATTAAATATATATATATATATTTAGAAAAGACAGAAAATGAGGTCATTTGTCTAGATACATCCAAAATGCCGATGGCTAAGGAAAACCAGATATGAAGATGCATATTCCCCTCCCTTCAACATGTATATTATTAGGTCAATGTTGTTTTAAAAGATATTTCACCACCTTGCACAGAATTCCAATCAAAGGGAAACCATAAATGAAAGATCAATTTAAGAAAGGCCAGATAACTTTGTAGAACCTTTTGTTTGTGTATAGCAACATAGGAGCACCCTACATTTACAGCTAAGTGCTTAATCAGTAATACAAAAACAGGAGGAACATATATTTTGTACAACGTCACATAATAGAATACAAATACAATCTTTTAAACCTTTGATTATGAGAGCTACCCTGTGAAGACTTGGTCCTAAAAGGCAACAGATAAAAGACTGATCAAAGAAATCCCTGCAAAAAAGCAGGGACTGTATAGTTACCAGCTCAAATTTGGACTGTGTGGACTGCCTACCTTGCACTAACTCTGCCATGGCTGCCACCTGTAATGCAGACAAGCTGGAGTCTGATAAAGGTTTACATTCGAAGACCATGTGCTACCCAAGGGTTTGGATGGGAGAAGCTTTGCACACATGTGCGTAATCTCCTGTGATGTAATGCAATGTCTGTAATTTTGCTTCTTGGGCTTCCTAATCAATGCTCAGTCTTTGACTAGGCTTGGTGATTTATCTGTCTCATCCAGTGACATGAATTAGAAAGCTCTTCTACAAATAAATCTCTACATCTCCCCTTAAGTTCCTGCATGTAGAAAATATTTCTAGCAAGGCTTAGAGTCTCAAAGTCATTACATATTTTGAAAGTCTAGGGGTTAGGAATCCCTGCTTTATTTCAAATTTGCCTTATCCATTGTTAATTTTACAGATGACTTCATGCATAACAATAGCTACAAAAATGACATATGGTTGGTGGGCAAAAAGCTAGAAGATGAAATGTTTGGCACCTCAAATAAATGCTGTTTTGGACACTGCTACCCAGAATTCCCTGCTTGGGCTATACTGCAAACAGTATGGGATTATTAAAGTCAGGCAGTGTAATTATGCAGTGAATCCTGTGAAAAGCCTTCACAAATCAAATACAATGGTTAATGCCAACAGGAAAGCCCATGGCTAGAAATTTCTCAGTTTAATTGGAAGCACCATACAGGCATGACAAGCAGTGGAAAAGGAGTTTAAGTACACTCGAGACATTATGGGACATGTACCCATGTATTTAACATCAATAAACACTGAAGACTTGTACAACACTGCAGATGGATAATGCATTACAAATCGCCCTCTGATTTCTGAAACAAAAACAAGACACAAGCCTCCAGGTTAAAGACATTTCATGCATGACATAAAGATAGCAAGTAGGTAAAACATATGAAGTAGCCCTGAAGAACACAGGAACAACTGTTACATGTGAGCACCAAATCAAGATGACGAGGCCAGTGAAAACTAGACAGATAATGTTAGGCAATGCTTTATGTCAGATTTTAGACATGTTTACTCAGAAGTAAGTTCCAATGCATCAGAAGGACATAGCTGCTTGGTAAACATGTTTAGCAGTGCAGCCATTCAGCCAAACCTTATATATATTTTCTTAGAACCAAATCCCACTAGGTTCAATGGCTCTTATTCATGAGCAAGTGTGCTTATGGATTGTTTCAACTAGGAATGTGAAAAATTTGTTCAGTTCACATTTCAGTTTGAACTTACCAAATTCATACTTCCTGCAATTAAACACAAACTGAATGTGATTTGCTGCCCAAATGCTTACATTTCCAAAATTTGCAATTAAATTCTTCAAACAGCCCAAACAAAAAAATGTGTACGTTAAAAAGGGGCACAAAACACGTGTATTTTTTTTTTTAAATGCAATGCATATATTTGTAAAGATGTACCCAGAAAACCTTCATTCAATGAAAAAACTGTGTGCATTTGGAATAATGCATAAAAGGTGGATTTTAAAATGTGTATAAATTTTCATGGAGATGAAAAAAATTACAATCTGATGTGGAATTGGGATGGAAGGAACTTCCAGCACTGAAAAAATGAGAAATGTTGAGCTTCAACACTTTGGACAACCCTAATTTCAGCAACACTTAATTTCAGCTCAATTAGGGTCAATATGTCCATCAGGCTACCGTTTTCAAACCACAGATAAGATTCTGCACACAAACATCTGTCCCAAGAATATTCTGTGGTCTGGTATATGTTCCCCAAATCCTAGTACCTTAGACTCTTCAGACATTTATGCTAACCATGATTCCTAAACTTTTGTTGGGAAAATAATGACAAACACAGATTCTTCTCTGTTAAGTCAAGCACACAATAATCTATATTTACACCTTCTGATTTAAAAGCAGACACTCTCTGCTTAAGAATGATTTATTTTGTGTAAAGAAGCAAGGCGGGCATCAGGGACACCTCAACTGCAAAAGCAGAAAAATGAAACATCTTTGGCTCAGACTATGGCTTGCAGTTTTAAAAAAAGATGCTTTAAAAATGCATGCAGTGGAGAATTATGTTCCAATGTGGCTCTCAAATCAAATGGAAAATTAAATCATTCAATTTCTGCAACAAATTTTCAATTGGCATGGAACACTAAAGACAAAACACATTCTGGGACTTTTAGAATATATAGTTACTGGAGTTAAAAGATAGGAATATGGTAGTGGAGATTCTGCAGCTGTCTGTTCTCCAGTTCATAAATAACACAGCTTTGTGTTGTGTATCAATCATACTCCACAATAGACAATTGCAATAAGTCTGTCTGTAAAATACTTGGATGAAACTATGGAAGTGTAAATTAAAGCTCTCTCAGGGGCTGAACCTAACTTGTGGAATCCATAGAAACCTTTATAGATTTAAATAGAGTCTACCCAGAGTATATTTCATATTCTTCTTAAATAACTTAACAGCAGGACAGTTGGCTGTAATCTGAAAACTAATTTGCCTTCTCTTGGAAAGTAGTTGGAAAAGACTATGGAGGAGGGAAATATTTGCCTATTATGTGAACTTTTCTTATTTCTTTGTTCTGTCTTAATCTATAGCTGGCTTCAAATAAGACTTCTGGGCTCTAGGTGACGGAAGGCTTCTTTCGCCTCTACTGTGTCAACAAGGTCAGAATCAAATCCAGTGATGAGGTTAGGGAATACCCGGAGCTCAGTGGAAGGATGAATTATTTACGAAGGTCACAAAAACCCACGCAACTGTATTCTTTGCACTTGATGGAAGGCAAAACTTGTAAGGCTTGCTTTTCAAACCTTACTTAGACAGACATTCTATACCCACTTACCTGGGGATAAGCCCCACTGAACTCAGTTGGGCTTATTTCTGAGTAGGCATGTATAGAATTGCACAATTAATTTTTAAGACTTCAGACGCTTTCTACAACCAAGCTGCACTAACTTAAACCAAGCTGCGCATTACATGATACAGGTCAAAGTATGCCCTCTACTGGACAATTTGTCTCAAACCAAGTCTTTAGGAATAAGCACATTTTTGGTGGAAAACACAGTAATGTGTTTTTTTTTTCTGAAAGGGGTTAAACATGCAAAAAAGAAAGATTCAGCTTCTGCTCCAGGAACTTTGCCATCATAGCAATTTGCAATCTCAGGCTACCTTTTGCCTGTAGATGACAAAGCTTAACTATGCAGAACGTAGAATTCATTCTCTCCAAATATAAATAGCTGACAATGTAAAGAATTCTTCAAGGTGCTCTCCTGTGAAAGCCTAGTGGAAAAGAAGGGGAGCTCCAGTTCCCATTCTACAGGGCTTGCCAACAGAAGCATTCCAGCAGATGGTGCATTAGATGCTTTCAGAGGTACGCTGATGATGTGAAGACATTTGAAGCATGTAAATAAAGTGAAGTCATACAAGGCTTCTCGCTTGCTTGTGAGCCTGACTTTCTTCCATGTTTGAAAGCCACAAGACAAATGTGCAACCTATGTAGCAGGCTGCATTAGCTGTCACTGTCAGGTATCCCTCGGTACCTCAGGCCTGCATTTTAAACATTACGAAGTGTTGCATGCATGCTTACTAATTTATCTGACACCAGTCATAGGCTACTTTCCCAACGTTTGAAATGCCATGCCCTATTTAAGAAAACAGCACAGTGAGCTGAAGTCATAAAACAGCAAACAGTAACTATAAAAACTGCACAGCGGCCCACGGCATGTTGATGCGTATCCACCTCTCTGGTCATGCCAGCATCAAGGGGCCACTGCAGTGCAAGACTTGAACCTCACTTCCACAGTTCTCATTGCTCCCAATGGCAGGAAGCTGAGCTCAGTGGTGCAGCTAGGGGTGGGCCTCGGTGCAGAAATGCAACCCTCTGCAGCCCAGCCTTGTTAATCACCCCGCACCCAGCAAATGCAGTGGTGGTGCAAAACACGCCTGGCATTAGCACTTGGGCTGGCATGGACATGCCAGGGCCCTCTAGGGCTGACGCTAGTTGCCACAGCGTCCTTGCACTCTTCTTATTTTAATTAACATTTTATAGCTGGCCAGGCATGTACAAGGTTACAGAGGCTCCTGTTATTATATTTACTTCTTAAAACTCCCAATTCTTTTCTACAACAAAACAGGGTTTCTGCCAAAGTAAATATGTTTAACAGCAAAAACAAGTTCAATTTTATCCCTGTACTCTTGCAGGAACTGTGATTTCAGTTAGTGAATTTAAAAAAAGCAAAACAGCACATGTTCAGAGCTTTTCTTTCTTATTCAAACTTTTTTACTCAAAATTTTGCTCTAATGTATCCGGAATGCAGAAGCAGTTGCAAAGGATGGAATGGTGGTGGGTGAGGAGGGAAGAGGCAGCATGGTATATTGGTTAGAGTGCTAGATTGGGAGTCAGGAGATCCAGGTCTAGTCCCCACTTTGCAATCAAGTTCACTGGATGACTTATTGACTCTCTACATCACAGGGTTGTTATGAGGATAAGATAGAGGTTGGATTATGTAAGCTACCTTGGGTTCCTTACAAAAGGATAAGGGCAGAATATAAATTTATTTAGATATATCCATTTATCTATCTATTAATAAACAGACCTGTTAGTAATACATATGGCCTTCTAAAGGACCACAGAGTCCAGAATATGAAATTACCTAGTTGCACCACTAGCTGGGCTTGTCTATCTGAAGACAACTATCTGATAGGCTGATACAGTAAAATGTAGTCCTTTGGGTATATGCAGGCTCCAGGTTATGAAATACTTTATGGATCAAAATCAGCATATTGAATCGAGTCCCAAATCACTTAAACAGGCAGTGCAATTTGTGTATTTCTGTGCACATTTAAAAACAACAACATAATTATTTTGAACTAGCTGCTTGGTCACTGATGTTCTACAACTATCTGTCCTCAAACCCTGACAAGCTGTAGCTTAATCAGAAGAATGAACAGGCCAATGAGCTTCCAGCTTCGTCTATATAATCCACATTAAGCCAGACTCCTCAGTTGGAGCAACCTGCTTTGCTTACAGTGAAATGTGAAAGAAAATTGGAGGTTCTGCCCATCAGAGAAATTTGGAGGGAATCAAAAAAGTTTCAAAGAGATTAGCAAAATTACTTCAGGGGGTTTCATACATTCCCCATTTATTGCTGAGGAAAACTGAGCTGCACCCCTCAGAGAAACAGGAAAATTGTGTTGGAAAAAGTAATATATTTTTAAGAAACTAAAGCTTACTTGGCGGAAGAGGCTCATCAATGGTTGGGTACTGATGGTGGTCAGGTCTCAAGGAAGGAAGCTGGTTGATGGGCTGAGAATTATGGAGTAAAGGGCAATCACCTATGGATAAGACAGTCAAGACGTTCATATTTATTCATGGATGCCATATAGTGGTTATAATGTACTGCTATAAACACAAATGACTGGAAAGATTCTAGATAATGGCTGACAGAAATCTGGTGTATTAGCTGCCTCAAGCACTGTTTTAAAAAGTGATTTACATGGCAAAGAGCTACTGAAATATTAAGTCAAAAGGAAGAGTTTGGAATTCAACACATGTGAAGGACCAATGGGTTGCAGTTCTAACCCCAGTGATGTGTTTGTTTGATTCCATCTCTAAACTTGCCAGTTATATCTAGGTGTCATATAAGAGAAGGGAAAGAGGAAAGTGAGAGAAAGATCGGGTGGAGGGGTGGGGGGAGAAAGGGCGAGCTGAGAGAAAGACAGCAAAAGAGAGAAAGGCACAAATAGGGACTTGAGATAAGCAAGAGGTTGTCTGAGATACAGAAAAGATGTGATAGTGAGCCAACAGAGAAGTGGATGCATTTTCTGAATGATAACATTTGATGAAGGCCTTTATGATCTGAACAAACTCACAAAGTTTTATCACTAGAATTGCTTCAAGGCATTCCAGGTATCTTGTGGTAATACATCATTCTTTTATGCCAGAATGTGCTGTAAGAACCTGAGCACAGAATCATAACTGAGTGCTTCTTGGGTTGGTGAACATTTTACCAACATACATTATTTCAACCTAAAATTCACCAATTTTATCCCACTGCTTGTCATTTTCCCCAACTTAATTGCCAAGTGAAAGTTATACAGAGGAAAACATAAAGGAATGTGAGGTTGCTTTTAGTAGCTGTAACATCACCTCAGAAATTTGTGCTATTATTTTTAATCAAAGTAAAGCATTAGATATTTTCTATGCCAGGTTCTTTCCAGACTTGTATGGGGGTGGGGAAGGTTGTTTTGTTTAGGAACAAATGCGACTGCAGCCCTTACTGCTCTTTCAAATATAGGTGCTTTTAGGGTAGTAGTCAAAATCCAAAAGAAAATACAAACTACCATGGTTGTTCCTTATTCCTTTAAACAAGAAGCATATTGAAAGAGCTTGAATTACAGATAAAGGTGATTTTAAAACAGAATGTAAAACAAATATTTGTGTGTCTTTTTAAATAAAATAAATCTTCCAGAAAACTGAACTGGATTTTTGTCCAATTACTTGTGTAATGATATTTGATGATAACGTAACCACAAAAAGGAGCATCACATGCAAAAGCTACTGCTAAAACTAGAGATACGAGTTCACACTGCTTTACATGCTGAAAAATAAGTTCTTATATTTTAAAAACTTACTGCATGTTCCATCAGAACTAGCAGCCCTACTCAAGTTTAACCACAGTGGCATGATTAACCAGGCTTCCTTCCTATTGTTCATTTACGTAGGAATAAACCTAGGCATGTAGGGTTTTCTTCTGTTTAAACAACTCCCAACATGCCTCACTCACCTATGCAAGCTGGGACATGCAGGCAGTTGTAGGCACTTTTTCCTGTTTGAACACACCTTGGGTAGGCCCTTAATTACTTACCTCAATATCTGACAGCACCTAGTCAAATTAGAGATTTTGTGTTGCGATCATCAGAGCAGAGCCAAGACCACCAGACACCTGTCAAAACCTACCTACAGCAAAGGATGTCGAACCATATTCTTGCGGTGAGTGGAGCCAAGAGATAGGGTTAAAAGGGTGAGGCCAGCAACACCAAAAACATCTACCTATCTTAGCTTAAAGTTCATACTGCCAGTAAATAAGATTTCAATCTTGTAGAATGGGGAACTGCTCCGCCCCCAAGCCAGGAAGCCATCAAATGACCAGCAGTCAGGGAAGGCTGGACTGGTCCCCCAAGCCTGAGGTTCTGCACCAATGAACAAGAGGGTCCAAGGACAATCCTTCAAGCTTCCTGTTCCTCACCGCTGTCATCGATTCACTTGTCCTTTCTGGGAAACAGCAGTAACCTTTCCACCCATTGTTTTCCATCTAGTGTGTGCAAGCCCAGACAGAGAGATGCAGGACAAGAGAATGGGTGACAGCAGTAGCAGACCTCAGGGAAAAGGCCTCACTGAAAACATTTTGCTCAAGAGCCCTTACAAATGGGAGATGGCACTGATCTCAGTGATGTGGCTCCTAGAGAAGTGCAGTTCCTTCCCGTGCCATTGGGAGCTCCTGAAAATCCTGTACTCTTGCAAAGGGCATGGCTCATGCTGCAGCTCCTCCACAAACTATGGGCAAATGCTCAGAAAACGGGTCAATGATGGCATGGGGAAAAGCTGCACAATGGCTTCAGAACGCATTCATGAGAGCATTTTCCTCTGGACAAACAGCCCCAAACTTTCCAGGCACATTTTCACATGGACAAACATACTGAATGAACCAGGTGACCCTCTGATCCTGACAGTAAAATAAGAATAATGGGATTGCCTTCATAGATCGGACAAAGGACCATCTAGTCCAGCGTTGGTTGCCAATCATTGTCAGCTTTGTCAAATTGGGGCCAACTGTATGCCAGCTTCCCACAGCTGATACAGTCATAGCAGTTCTGGCTGTTTACTTGGATCATGCACTGAGACTGACTCTAAGGCATACACCCAAGGAAGGATGGGGCTGCTTGTGCTTAGCAGAAAAATGTGTGTGAATCACCAGTAGATATTGGTGGATGAAAAGCATAATATGATATAGGCCATGTCTTTGTCTCCCTCAACTACCCAAAAGCAGAAATTGGCCAGGGTGACTTCTTTTATATTGTTATTTATTTTATATTGTTATTTTTATATTGTTATTTTTGTATTTTATTTTATGTTGTGAGCCGCCCCGAGGCTTCGGCGAATGGGGCGGCATAGAAATGTTTTAATAATAATAATAATAAATAAATAAATAAATAAATAAATAAGAAATTGCAAGCCCCAATTTTTATTTGTTAATTTTTTAAACAATTAAAATTTCTAATTTTATTTTTTTATTAGTTAATTTTTCTACAGGGTTGGATCTGGACTTAGGCCCAAAGCAGATATTACTAGCAAGCTGCAGCTAGCAACTGTATTTATTTTATTTTTACCCTAGGCACAGGGCCACCAATCTGGATCAGCATCCCAGTGAGCCATAAAGCAAAACAAGGATTCTCCCTAACGCTCCCTGCACCATGCAAAGGTCCATACTCCATTCCAGAATACAATGAAAAAAGATGCAATTGCTAGCTATTTTTTAAAATTATGCCTACTTGGGGCCTTTAGTCCTACCCAAAATAGACCTACTGAAATCAAGGATACTTGAGTTAGCCATGACTAAGTATGGCTGAGTGTGCTTCCAATACAATATGTGATGATGATGATGATGATGATGATGATGATGATGATATTACATTTGTATACTACCTTCCTTTCCATAAAAGAAAAGTCAAAGCAGCTAACAGAATCTACAAAACATTTTTTAACAATGGAAATCAAAACAAAGGATGCCAAAATCAAATGAAATTGTAGATAATTTTTACTGCTGGTGAACTCAGATTGGAAGACAAGGGGGATAAGAGGAAGGAGAAGGCTGGAAAATGAAGCTTAAAAATGCAAATGTCTATGTCATTGGGGATATTACTATTCTAAGACAATGATACAAGGTAGACTTCATTCCCTGCATTAAGCCTCCTGTACACTGCTCCATGGAGGCAATTTATACTTATTTCCATGAAGCTGGACTCATAGGTTTGGTAGAATTTACTGTAGCTGAAAAAATGAAGCCACCAAAAAACAGAGGAATTTAGATGCTGGGGCACAGTGTCCTATTGAGCGAGATCCTCACATGCTGTAAACCGTAGCAGCTTAATACACCAGATGAGGATGTAGCCCTTCATGTAAACACACACATACTCTCTCTTCTTTCTCACTTTTCCTGACCCCTGTACAACACACACACACAGATACACTTATGGCTAAGATGAAGTGGAATATGTCTTATATAAAACAGGGAAAAGCCCCAATGAAACAAACTCTGCAGGGCCTGCTGATTCTCAACCTGCCACCAGACACCCTCTGAAATCTTCTGAGGCCAGGGGAGATCCTCCCACTACTTCTCTCCCTGCCTTACCAGCCATCCACCTGCAGTTGCAAGATTCCAGGTCATCATACAGCAGGTGAGGGAGCCAAAGTGGCCACCAAGACTGTGGGGAGAAGTGGCTAGAAGGGGCAACACAGCTGCCTTGCCTCCCACAGCATCTGACGATTTCACAGAATGCTTATATAGTATGTTGGGATCATAAGGTGGCAGCCAAAATCTTCTACATGCCCCCACAGTGACCTGCATTACATCCAGATATATACGTATGCACGTATTCATTTCCTCCTTTACATATTACACTACAAGCACAATAAAAGTTCAATGCAGACATCTTTTGTTGTGCCTATTACCGCTGTTATCTCAAAAATAAACTGATGGCACAAACACTTCATCCGTATCCCTTTTTTCATCTTAAGATGGTTTTCATGTCTGACTTCCCAAATGAAACTGAGCATTCCTTGAATGATCAGACCTTGATTATTGGCTATTTCTTGTAAGGCCTAAGAGAGATATAATCAAGGTAGTGCTTCTCCAAGTCTAACCTTCTCTTCGGTTGCTTGGGCCTGCTACTGGAGATTCTACACCTTCTGCTGTTCCCTGAAGATTCACTCCACGAGCTACTGGGTCCTCCGGCCAGTGGGCAGAGCCATCCACTTGCTCTCTGTCCACCTCGGGGCTTTGCACTGAATCAGGCACTGACTCAAAAGCACTGTTTTCCTCTTCCTCGTCATCCTGTGAAGAAAAGACTGTGCTCTCAGAAATCTTTGCACTGTCAACAGAAGAGAACCGGGTATGGCTTGAGAACCGGTTGTTGCTCTCCTGACCAGAAGTGCTGTAGCAGGAAGTGCTGTAACAGGAGGTGCTGTAGCAGGAAGTGCTGTAACAAGAAGGGCTGTAGCAGGAAGTGTCACACATGTCACACTCAGCATCACCATGGGGCTTGGGACTCAATTCACTTTCACTTTCAGTTCTGGGCCCTTCACTGTCCACAAGTTGTTCATTTAAGTCAGCAAGGTGTTCGACGGAAGTGCTGCGAGGCACAGTTCCCCGGATAAAGTTCTCCCCTACTCCATTTTCCTGAGGGGGGTCTGCCAACACTGTTTCAGTCTCGCTGACTAAGTCCTTCTCTGACGCTTCACGGACTGTTGGCTCTTCATCGTTCTCCACCATGCTGCCCGGTTCCTCCTCCCCTTCTCCGTCATCACTGCTCATCTGGGCTGAAGGCAAACTGTGCAGAAGATTGTGTATCCTTATGTAGTGAGTTCGAGGAGTCTCTGGTTCCCCGCAGGCAGATGCTATCACTGTCTCAAGTTCTGACACAGGCAAGGAGCAAGGCCTGTTCTTCCTTTTCACCATGGTCCTTAGCTGTGGCTCATTCTTCTCCTTCCCATCCTCGCCTTCCTCCTCCTCCTCCTCCTCCTCCTCCTCCTCCTCCTCCTGGGCTGAAGCCCCTTCATCATCCTGACTCTTCTCTAGATCCTTGACAGCTTGGGTATCTCCACTCACCTCATCAATAGATAGGGCTTCTATGCTGGTAAAGATGTCACTGTCTCCCTGAGTAATAGAATTGGCTTTATTATGTTCCCTAACTTCAGATTCAGGGGGCGTGCATGCCAACAGAGCCAGTTGTTCAGTGAGGTCCATAGCACTCAGGGAAGGCATCATTTCCCCTGGGATGGATTCCAAGGGATCAACCGTGTCTGCTGGCACTGCATCATCCTCCCCATTTCCTGCTAGCTCTTCTTTTAAGAAGCTGTTCAGGCTGAGCTCCCCAGCACCAGAGCTATCAACATTGATGCAGATCACTGGGCATCCATCTAGCTTCTCTGGAGCTGCACTTTCTGAGCTCACTGTGCTGGTGCACGGAGGCTCACCGAGGATTTCCTCTGCTGATATATTCATAGGGCTTTCCTGGAATTCAGCTGATTCAGGATCTGCTGTGAGAGAGACTTCTTCATCATCTGCTGGAAACAAAAAGAAAAAGAGTGGCCTTGCTAAGTGGTTCCATTTCCTGAATCAAGGATGTAAATAACATGGCCTTTTTGCTATCATGATCACAGTATGGAAATGTGCAGATGCTAAGAAGGTATGAAGAGCCCTGTTGGATCAGATCGAGCATTTATCTAATCCAGCATTCTGTTCACACAGTGAGCAACCAGATGCCCACAGGAAACCCACAAGAAGTACATGAATGCAACAGCCCCTTCTGATCATGTTCCCTAGGAAATGGCATACGTAGCAAATACCTATCAGAACCTGCTGTCATTGACAGCCTTCTCCTCCATGCTTTTTAAAGTTATGCACATTGCTGGCCATCACCACATCTTAGGGTAATGAATGTACTGTGATTCTCCCTCCAGTCAGCCTCACCATGTATTATGGGAGATGGGGAAAAATGTCTCACTGCTCACTTTCTCCATACCATGTATAATCTTGCGCAACTCTTTCCTCTCTCCTGTACTGTTAGATCCTTCTCACTACAGCCCTGCTTAGAATAAGGGTGCTTCCAGACAAGGCTTTCATGGCACATTTGCCCAGCCTCATTTATGGAATTTTACAAGGGATTTCCCCCTTCATGGATCACTGCCTTGCTGTGGCAAAGGGGCTTGTGTAGCACAATGAAGCTATGAGCTATGCTGTGCAGGGCCACCCAAGATGGACAGGTCATAGCAGAGAGCTCTGACAAGAGCTGATCCACTGGAGAAGGAAATGGCAACCCACTCCAGAAAACCCCATGGACTGTTTTAAAGGGCAAAACGATATGATGCCAGAAGATGAGCCCCTCAGGTTGGAAGGTGTCCAGTGTGCTTCTGGGGAAGAGCAGAGGGCTAGTACTAGTAGCACCAGAAAGAATAAAGCAACTGGGTCAAAGCCAAAAGGACACTCAGTTGTGAATGTATCTGGTGGTGAAAGGAAGTCTGATGCTGTAAAGATCTATACTCCATAGGAACCTGGAATGTAAGAACTATGAATCAAGGCAAGCTGGACGTGGTCAAACAAGAGATGACAAGACTGAACATCGACATCTTGGGAATCAGCAAACTAAAATGGACAGGAATGGGTGAATTTAATTCACATGACAATCAGGTATACTACTGCGGGCAAGAATCCCTCAGAAGAAATGGAGTAGCCTTCATAGTCAATAAAAGAGTAGGAAAAGCACTGGGATACAATCTCCAAAATGAGAGAATGATCTCAGTTCGAATCCAAGGAAAACCATTCAACGTCCAAGTCTATGCCCCAACCACTGATGTTGAAGAGGCTGAAGTTGACCAGTTCTATGAAGGCCTACAACACCTTCTAGAATTAACACCCAAAAATGATGTCCTTATCATCATGGGAGATTGGAATGCTAAAGTAGGAAGCCAAAAGATAACTGGAATAACTGGCAAGTTTGGCCTTGAAGTACAAAATGAAGCAGAGCAAAGAAAGGCTGGAAGAATTTTGTCAAGAGAACATACTGGTCATAGCAAACACTCTTTTCCAACAACCAAAGACACGACTCTACACATGGACATCACCAGATGGTCAACACAGAAATCAGATTGACCATCTGCTCTGCAGCCAAAGATGGGGAAGCTCTATACAGTCAGTAAAAACAAGACCAGGAGCTGACTGTGGCTCAGATCATGAGCTTCTTGTTGCAAACTTTAGACTTAAATTGAAGAAAGTAGGGAAAAACAAAAGGTCACTCAGGTATGAGCTAAATCATATTCCTGATGAATATACAGTAGAGGTGACAAATAGATTTAAGGAATTAGATCTGATAGACAGAGTGCCTGAAGAACTATGGATGGAGGTTCACAACATTGTACAAGAGGGAGCAACTAAAACCATCCCAAAGAAAAAGAAATGCAAGAAAGCAAAATGGCTGTCTGAGGAAGCTTTACAAATAGCTGAGGAAAGAAGGGAAGTGAAAGGCAAGGGAGAAAGAGAAAGATACACCCAGTTGAATGCAGCATTCCAGAGAATAGCTAGAAGAGATAAGAATGCCTTCTTAAATGAACAGTGCAAAGAAATAGAAGAAAACAATAGAATAGGAAGGACCAAAGATCTCTTCAAGAAAATTGGAGATATGAAGGGAACATTTCATGCAAAGATGGGCATGATAACGGACCAAAATGGCAGGGACCCAACAGAGGCAGAAGAGATTAAGAAGAGGTGGCAAGATTACACAGAGAAACTATACAAGGAAGAGCTTAACGTCCCTGACAAGCACAATGGGGTGGTCACTGACTTCGAACCAGACATCCTGGAATGTGAAGTCAAAGGGGACTTAGGAAGTCTGAACAACAACAAAGCTAGTGGAAGAGACAGTATTCCAGCTGAGCTATTCAAAATCCTAAAAGATGATGCAGTTAAAGTGCTACACTCAATATGCCAGCAAATTTGGAAACCTCAACAGTGGCCACAGGATTGGAAAAGGTCAGTTTACATTCCAATTTCAAAGAAGGGCAATGCCAAAGAATGTTCAAACTACCGCACCATTGCACTCATTTCACATGCTAGCAAAATCCTTCAAGTAGGTTTCAGCAGTATGTGGACCGAGAACTACCAGAAGTACAGGCAGGGTTTCAAAGAGGCGGAGGAACTAGAGATCAAATTGCCAATATATGCTGGATCATGGAGAAAGCTAGAGAGTTCCAGAAAAACATCTACTTCTGCTTCATTGACTACGCTAAAGTCAATTGTATATATCACAACAAACTGCGGCAAGTTCTTAAAGAGATGGGAGTACCAGACCGTCCTATTTGTCTCTTGAGAAACTTATATGCGGGTCAAGAAGCAACAGTGAGAACTGGACACGGAACCACTGATTGGTTCAAACTTGGGAAAGGAGTTCGGCAAGGCTGTATACTGTTGCCCTGCCTATTTAACTAATATGCAGAGCACATCATGAGAAAGGCGGGGCAAGATGAATCACAAGTTGGACTTAAGACCCTAATGCTGGGAGCAATTGACGGCAAAAGAAGGGGAAGGCAGAAAATGAGGTGCCTAGATGGAGTCACTGAAGCAGTTGGTGTGAGCTTAAGTGGATTCTGGGGGATGGTGGAGGACAGGAAGGCCTGGAGGAATGTTGTCCATGGGGTCGCAATGGGTCGGACGCAACTTCACAATTAACAACAAGGGATCCAGATGTTGTCATCTTGAATTACTAGCCTGCTAACTTTTACCATCTATTTTTTCTTTCTACTAAAGAAAATCTATTAAAGAGAAAAAGATGGAATTGCTGCACAATGCCTTCTTTTGGGTAGCCCTAAAAGCCCCTTCTCTGGAAGTACTCTAACAGCCACGTCATATATGCAAATAGCATGGTAAAAATAACAGATCCTTTAAAAAAAGAAAAGACGTGTTAAATCAGGCTGTTTTGCTTTTTGAATGTTAGTTATACATTATTTTTAATAGCATGGTTTAAAATGCTGAAACATTTCAGATATTAAAACAAAGTCTATAATTCCTACTCTCTAAAAGTAAATTCATGATGGGTATGAAAAACACTTAGGCTGCAATCCTATACTCAGTTACCTAGAAATAAGTCCCACTGAATTTCATGGGGCTTACAGCATCATAGACATGCATGGATCTATACTGTTAGCCTGCAACCTATATACATTTACCAGGGAATAAGTCTCAGTAAACTCAGTGGGATATACTTCCGAGTAGATATGCATAAGATTGCACTATAAGTTAAGGATTCATCTCTATATAATCAATCAATCAATCAATCAATCAATCATCAACTTTTTTAAAGGTTGGCAGTGTAGTCTTCTGCATGTTTACTTAAGATGTAAATCCAACATTTACACTAGGACCTGCTCACTAGGACCTGCTCCTAGATAAGTGCGTATAGAATTACAGTCAAAGTATGATAAACCACAGCACAAAAGTGTCCATATTATATTAATTAATGCAAGGATAGTTCTTCTCAGGAAATTCAAATAAATAACATGTGTTGAAATGAAATCTAATTTGCATTTGCTTCTTGGTACTTTCCTAATACTGCTTGACCTATGCAGATTGTAAGATATCAATCAATTATGCAGTGTATCTTATACCAGTTTCTAAAATAGTAAAATGTCATGTGAAATTATATATCACAAAAATATGTCCTTCTAAATGAAAGAACTGCACTAACTAGCTGTAAATCTACCTTTTTTTAAATGTCCAGATCAGGTAATTACTATGTCCTTTTCTTTATCTAAAATGCAAGCAAGAACATTTGTTTAAATCATTTGTTTACATTTGTCTTTTAAATATTGGGATTGAAATCACTGGCCCTGAATAGCTCTAAGGCTGCCCTCCTATACCCATCTATCTGGCAGTTAATCCAATTGAACTCAATGGGGCTTACTTTTGAGAAGGCATATAGAAGACGACACTGCATGTCACCTTAAAATTCAAGTATGCTGACGACTTTATTTCATTCATGTTAGATCTTCATGTCATATATGTTTATAATATATAAAGTTTTACACTATACATTGTAATGTTATACATTATAATATATAATATTTGCTTTCATTTAGCAACTGGATAGAACTTTCTGACTGACATGTTCCCTCTTCCCAACAATATCAGTTCATGCAAAATGATGACTGATGATGATGAGCTGTAAATAATTTTATATTAATGTACTTTTTGACCATCTTGGTTCTGCCTTTCCTTTACTATTTTATAACAAGCATTTATATGGCTTTGAGATGCTCTGTTTTGGCTACATATCTCATGTTTCCCTCAAAGGAGTCCAGGGTGGCATGCACAATATCACATCTGGTGTCAGCATCTGACATCACAAGCCCCAGAGCCACGGTGGGGCCCATTACTGAAACTTGCCTTGACCCCGCTTTCTTCAAGCTTGCATTTTCCCAGCTCCTTGCTCCAAGCAGTGCTGGGAAGTTGAGTATAGCAGGTAGTTAAAGGAAACATTAGCCCTGTTCAGGTGTTTGATACATAGGGGATAAACTCACAATGAGAGGCGGCCTGCTAATCCTGACCTTTCCATCATGGCATCTGTTGCTCCCTCAGCCTGTGAAAGCTAACTTTTTGGATAGGAGAATCTCCTGTATCCAGAATCAAGTCAGCAAGTAAAAAGAGGCTTGTCACAAATGGGATAACAGGCTGGGCTACCATGCTGTCTCTCGACACATGTCAATCAGCTCTACAGGTAAAGCACCTGAATGAGGCTAGACTGTACAAATAATATGGTGACTGCAGGCAGCAGCAGAAGGGCCCCTGTGTTTTTTGTGACCCCTGCTGCCCCAAAACTGCTGTTCCTGCCATGCCACCAAATTGCTACTAAATTCTAGGAGCATGGTTAAACCAAATGTGAGCTCCCCAGGTGATATTTTGCTGCAGAAGTGGTCTGCAGACACTCAGAGGTTGCCCACCTCTGACTTAAAACATGTCTTAAGTGACTAGAAAAGCTTCCTATCCCCCTTCTCCTACTTCTCAGAGAAGAGTGCAAGAAAACAATCCAGAGTTCCATGGTAGATACAAACCTGATAAACTGTGGCTCATTCCCACCAATGTTTGTTAAAATAACTTAGGTTAAATCATGATTTCAGACCCTGTTTATTAACTAACTTTATTTCAAACAAACTAAACGTGAATGCATTCCCGAGTTAATGCGTAATGAGAAATGTTTTATTTCAAGTGCAACAGAAGCTTTCTCCTCTTCTAGTATGCAAAAGAGGAAAGGAAAAGGAGTCCACAAACTAACAAAATCTTGTTCCCTATTACCTGAACCATGTCTGAACCAACCCAATCTAAAATCAAGTACTTCTTGAAGTAGGAAGCTGAAATGTGGAAAAATACCTGGGTGGATTGAAGAAGTTATCTCAAACCGAAACTGCAGCTGACCACTGACATGGTCTGTCGGCAGCCTACGTCCCAGAGTGTAGCTCACAACCCTGTCCCTGTAAGAAACCAGGCAGCATATTGGTAATCATTTTATTTACTGCAGTTTAATGCAATGCAAACGATTAATGCTATTTATTGCAAAGCTTCAATCAAAAGGTTATTAAAAAAGCACAATGATGGTTCTTTTGGCCCTAGCACTGTAAGCTGCCTGAATGCAAGAATGTCCATGGATCCTAAATAAGCTTCTGTTTTGCAATGAAAGATGTACTATTAACCTCATCCAGTGCATATGTTCTTTGGCACAATGGTATGGCAAGTCAGAAATAACCAGCTGTTTTATACTCCAAGTCTGTGGTGTAGTGATTAAGAGAGCGGGTCTGGGACTCAGGAGATTCAGGTTCTAATCCCAGCTCAACCATGGAGCAACTGGGTGACTTTGGGCCAGTCACAGACTCTCAGCCCAACCTACTTCACCTGTGTGGATAAGATTGAGAAGAGAATTATAGAAACTGCCTTGAGTTCCTTGATAGCAAAAAGGGGTGGATTAGAAAAAAATTAACACCATACACACAACAACAACAACAACAACATAACAAATATTAGGAAGCTGGGTCAGCCACTAAGTAATTTTCTGATTGACTAAGCTGATCACTGACATTCAGTCATTTAATTTTCCATCAGAAATCAAGGGCCTTCTTTTATTTAAATACCACTCCTCCTTAGGGGCAAGTTCAAACTGCATTAAAATAACAATAGAAATAGCATTAAAAGGTAAAAACAGCTACCAAGAAAATCTATTGTTAGTTATTAAAATCAGTAACTGGTAACAAGTTTTCAGCAGTAACTTAAATTCTATTAACGATGACATAGAAACACAGAAACAGAGCGAGTCGGAAGGGGCCTCTCAGGCCATCTAGTCTGACCGCCAGCTCCAGCCGGCTCTGCTCATGACATGCCCACCACGTGCATGTCTAGCCTATCCTTGAACACCCTCAGTGATGGGGCCTCAACCACCTCCCAGGGAAGCCCATTCCATTCCCTCAGGGTCCTAACTGTCAGGAAGTACTTCCTGGCATAAAATTGAACCTTGGTTCCCTGAGCTTTGGAGCGCATCGTGCCTTCATCTGCAGGGTAGAACAGGTCTCTACCCACCTCCGAATTACATGAAGTATACCATTGGACGAAAGAAGTCTCCATGAAAAATTGACAAATCTATCAATTTTGTTTTCCTCCATGTTAAAAAAAAAATCAAATTCTTTGTGAATCAGTTATGAAGACATTTGCAAGTTCAATAAGTTCTTATTTAAAACAATGAACAAGAGGGCATCTCAGGAGGTTGAACCCTACTGAGGATAGCCTATTGGTTAATCCTTTCATGAAGAATAATTGGTAAGTAGTAGTAACTTGAAAGAATTTCACCCATTGCTGATCATTTCCTTTGGTAAACAGCAGTTTGGGGGCTAATTTTCTGTGGGACTGTAGCAGGGGGAAAGGGTTAAAGCCCCCATTCACAGCTGCTGCAGTCCCAGATTTGTTGGAATACCCCATCAGTTATTTAAAGAACAAAAAAAAAAATTAAGGATCATCAAATGGTTACGCATATTAACAGCATGTCTAGTTGCAGCAGAACTTTCCCATGTGGAAAATGCAAGAAAGCAGAAGACACTTCAGCACTCTAAGTGCTGCTGGGCAATGAAACAGCCTGCCCTAGTTCCATTTGTTTCTTCTTGGCTGCAAGTCTTGAAGCAGAGGCTGAATGCCCACCTGAGAGGCAACTGTAAGAATGGTAGTAGACTCCTGTACTACAGGTGAACATGGGATTGGACTAGAGCAAGGGCTGGATGAGATTATTTCCAAGATCCCTTCCAGTTCAACAGTTACAAATCACAGAACATTCAGCATTATTTTTCAACATCAAAGTGATAAATCAGCTTTATATTACAATTCTCTTCCGAAAAACAACAATGATAATGCTGTTGTTTTGAGTGTTTTAAAAAACGTGTCATTTAAGTGGCAATTATCACTTTCTTTTTGATCATGGCAGTGATCATAGCAAACAGAAAGCAGTGCTACCAAGATTTACCCTATGGCGTGTCTCTCCAGCAGCCGTTGCACAGGCATGGAAAGTTTCCCCAAAAAACGCTTGATGATTGGCCGACTCTTTGCAAACTTGTCCTTCACCTCTATTTCCAAGACATCAGTGGGCAGGGAAACAAAGCTGAACAGCTGTAAAAGAAATATAATAAAAAATGCGGGAGGGGGGAGTTTATTAATGTGTTGTTATTTCTGATCCAACTATATCTAGGGCATCTGTTCAGGTATCCCCTTCCTATTGCTGAATAATTATCCAAAGAAATTATGCAAACAGACCACACAAGCCAAGTTGAACATTTCCAGAAAGTGTCTGAAAAACAGCTGCTTCCCAGTGCCTCACGCAAAAGGGCCAGAATGTTTCCGGTTTTGATCTCTAAGGTGGAGACAACTTCTAATTCAAACAAGTTACAATTAAGGCCAGATCACTTTTGCATAGCCCAGAAGCCAGTGCCTCAAGAATGCACAGAGGCTGCTTCAAGCAGGAAACACCCACATGTTGGCACACATGGTGGAATCTCTGAGGAGGGCTACAACTCATTGGCACAGCACATGCTTTGCTCTGGATGAATCCCAGGCTCAGTCTATGGCTTTTCTAAGCTAGGGCAGGGAAATACTCTCATCTAAAAGCTTGGGTAGTCACCACTAGATAGTAGGACAGGGTGGGAAACCTCAGACCTGGAGGCTAAATCTGGCACAACTGGGGTCCCAGTTTGGCCCTCCGGGGCTCTGCATACAGCCATGGCTCCTTCCCCTGGCCAGCAATTGTTTGGTGATTTCCCAGTTTTTGTGCAGTTCCCCCCATCCCAATTCTGAAATATTGAAATGATCTCCTAAGACTTATTTATTGTCAATAAGCTAAAATATGCCAGTACTTCTGATATTCTGGTCCCACTCTTTTGCTTTTGACATTGCCTATCACTGGAATGCATCTCCAGACAGCTGCTCCAAAATCGAATTTGGCCTATAGGCTGAAAGTGGTTCCACACTCCTATGGGCAATAGTAAGCTAGAAGGACCAATAGGCTGACGGCATAAGGCAGCATCTTATCATTTCTGTGAATCTCTACTTCCACATTTGGGTAATTATGCAAATTGTGGGCACAATCTAGCTAATGTGGCAGCCACATGGGGGTTTTCACAAACAGGAAATGTTATTAGAAAAAAAAAGTTATTTCATTTCATGTTGTTGGCTTTCATGGGTTGGAGGACTGCTAGGCACCTTGGCCCGTATTCTTCAGATTCCATTTTTAAACTCAGAAACCATCCTGGAATATATATGTCACTAGTTCCTACAAAAAATGCAGTCAAGATTCATACACCTCAGTTTGCTTAATTACTTAGAAACACCCTTGGCTTGGAGTGTGATGTTCCCAGGAGGAAACCATCAAAACACTCTTGATTTGTGGAGAGGTGCTTAGTACCTTCTTGAGTATGCTTATCTCTGACACTCAATACCTTTGGAAGCTACTCTGTAGTAACCATACTCACCTGAATCAAACAACACTCTACTATGATCCACCAAAAAGAGGCTTTATTCTCTGCCTGAAACTGTAAGATATCATACCTAGTCTTTATTGTACAAGCTGTATATCTCAAGGGAAGCACAAAACACCAGCAGGTGCCACCTGCTGGCTTTCCATTGCAAGGCTCTGAAACTGGTATGAACTGATAAAAGTGTAGGTTTAATTTAATAGTGCGAGTTGACTGAAAAGTCCTTTAGCATTCAGATGCCTAGTTCCAAACTATTCAGACTTTCTGTGGTACTGCAGCAGCCATGAAAATGCTATCAGGGGATTTAGGTCATACAGGGAGGTCTAAAGCCGAGAAGAAATTGTTAAGAAAAGAGAGGTCAGAGGAAGAGGAAAGCCATTTTTAAGTGTTCCAGTCCCTTAAAAATGTACTTTGCATCATGGATCAGTGGAAAATACTCTCCCTGCCCCATCAACACTTCCTTACTCCACCTGCAGGTGGCAGTATTGGGGAGGGAGACTCAGTGGAAATTTTCATGGAAGGCTCAGTAAAACCAAGCCTGGGGGAGCAAACCACACTCATATCAGCAGTGCAGGCACTTTCCATTCACTGTTCTCCCCACCCCCATGCACCCCTTCCCCCAAATGTGCCTAGCATGGCACTGCATAATGATACAACATCACTTTACGGGGGGCTTTTGAGTTAAAAAACAACAAGACCATTAAGGGGCTGCCATATACATATTTTTACACATATTCTCCAATTGGAGCAATGCAATGTCATTGACTGAAATATAAGTTCAAATCTAATCAGAACTAAGAATGCTGCCAGATGTGTGAACACATGTGGAAGTGGAGTGGCGGGTTGGACTCAATGACCTTATAGGCTTCTTTCAGCTCCTGTTCTATTCTATTCTATTGCAAGAATCCTTACCCTAGACAGACTGGGGTTCCACCACCAGTTCAGCAGTGTTCAGTACAAAGTTTCCCAAGTCATTGGTTGTTTTAAAATTATCCCTACTGTTTCCTTTGTGGATAGGTAAACAAAGCATCAAGAATACTTGATATGAGGGTCTCCCAAAGGTGGGAAGGATATTGATGTATGTCCAGTGTTCGTTACAAAGGCATGCTTGTGCAAGCCTTTGATGTATGAGGACGCGCTGGCCCAGAAGATGGACAAAGACTGATTAGAAACAAATTATTGAATTTGTGAGACCTGGTGGGGGGGGAATGGGGGAGACTTCCCCTGGCTCTGAATTAGCAATGATACTCATATTTGCAGGATACTTGCTCCCTAGTTCTGTGCAACTCAGAACCCAGTCCTTTGACTCCACAGCTGATAGGTCTCTATTTTTGAGGCTCTCATGCTGCTTTTTGCCACTAATGTAGATGAGTAGTTAACACTGTGTGCTGTAATATGCCTGCTTGCTGGCTGGCTTGCCTGCTTGCTTGCTTTCTTATTTGCCAATTTAGATTAAAAAATCCAGCCCATTTTTCTCTGCTGTAACAGCTATGACAGTTCAGGCTACATGACTCCAATTTTTTAAAAATAAGAACTACATGGTACCCTTGAGTACACCTTGAGTTATAATGCAAACTGTGTGTGCTTGACTGTGACATTAGATGGACTGACTTCATGAAACAAGCACTAGAGTTCTTTGGTTGCTTATCTTCTGCCTCTTAGATTATTCTAGTTCCAGACTCCTTTTATTTCGGATTTAAACTTCTTAAACTAAAGTTTTTCAGTGGCCAGTGTTCAAATGATGTGGCATTTAAAATGCTGTAAGCACAACTGTAAACTTATGCACCTTCACACCCTAGCCCAGAAATTAGGCTACCCTATTTTCCAAAGAGAAGTCCAAAGGCCAGAAGTATACTTTGTTGCATAAAACCCATTTGCTGCTGCCGCCGCCGCCAAGGCCCACGCCGACAGAAGACCTGAGGCACGCCGCAGGGCCCGGGGGCCAGCTGACGCTGCTCCCACGGCCACTGCCGGTCCATCCCGGGGCCGGGGGCGCTAGGCCATCACTGCGGCTGAGGAGGGTGCCGCCATCTTGCCAGCTGGCAGGTTCCCAGTGCCCGTCCTTGCACCGCCCCCCGCCGGCGTCAATGAGAGCAACACCGGATTGGGGGCGGGGCGCGCAGGCGGGTGCTGGCTTAACTCGCCGGTTGCGGCCTGGGGCCAGCGGCCGAAGGGCGACGGCCAAAGGGTGGTCGCCACCGTTTGTGGCCATTTGTGGCCGTGCGGGGGCTGGGCTGGCAAAGGACTCTGTCGGTGGGTGGAATTTTATATCGGGGGTAGATGGGGAGTTTTATATTGTTTTAATGTTTTTATTGTATTTTAAAATGTTTTTATGGAGTCGTTCCTGGCCATGTCGACAGTTAGTCACCTGAGGAGCGCATGGGCACTGCCACTGGGGTGGTTGTGGGCAATGGACATTACAGCGGTGGGAGTTTAACAGGTCTGCATAGAAGAAGGAGGGAAAGATGGTTGACACCTGTCCCTCCTTCTGGTTTTACCCCCAGCCAGAGGGTTCCAGGTAGTCTTGTCAACCGCCCCACGGGCCTGATGGTGCTGCTGCTTAATGCCAGGTCGGTCCACAATAAATCGTCCCTCATCCACGACCTGATTGTGGATGAGGGGGCCAACCTGGCTTGCATAACAGAGACCTGGGGGGGGGGATGTCTCCCTCTCTCAAATGTGCCCGCCCAGGCATCTAGTTCAGCACCATCCACACCTGGAGGGGAGGTGAGGGGGAGTTGCTTTGGTTTACCGAGCCTCCATCTCCCTCACGAGGCTTCCAGTCCCTTTGAGGCTGGGGCTAGAGTGCTTCTACTTGGTGTTGGGCGACCGAGACAGATTGGGGATTCTGTTGGTGTACGTGCACCCTTCTGCCCAACAGACTCCCTGCCTGAGCTGACGGAGATCATCTCGGACCTGGTGTTGAGGACTCACAGGATGTTCGTCCTGGGGGACTTCAATCACCATGCCAAGACTGGTCTGACCAGGGCGACTCAGGACTTCATGTCCTCCATGACGGCCATGGGGCTGTCTCAACATATCACAGGCCTGACCCATGAACATGGACACACTTTGGACCTGGTTTTCTTGACGGGGCAGGAGGAGGGTGGTCTGAGGGTGAGGAATTTGTCTGACACGTCATGATCAGATCACTTCCTCATGAGGTTTGTGTTCGAGAATGGCCTTTCCCTCTGTAAGGGTGCGGGCCCGATTGTGTGGGTGGGTCCCTGGAGCCAGATGGATCTGGATGGATTCCTGAAGGCCCTGGGGGAGTTTCCAGCTGACAAGACTGGTGCTCCTGTCGAGGCTCTGGTCGAGCTATGCAGAAATGACCAGGTCTATTGACATGATCGCTCCTAAGCGTCCTCTCCCGCCGGGCAGAGTCCACTCTTTCCCTTGGTAGCACCTGAATTGCGGGCGATGAAGCAGGTTGGGAGACGTCTAGAGCATAGGTGGAGGAAATCACGGGATGAATCTGACCGAACACACTTAAGAGCCCATTATCGGGTCTATGCTGTGGCGGTGAGGGCGGCGAAAAAGAAATTCTTCCCTGTTTCCATTGCCTCTTCACAATGCCGTCCGGCAGAGCTTTTTCGGGTGGTGCAAGGGCTGGTTCTTCCTGGCCCTAAGAAAGACCCAGTA